ATTTGATAGACAAACCTTACCCCTACCTTAAATATACCTGACAGGATTTTTTAAAAATCTTTTTTTTTTTGTTTGTTTTTTTTGAGTCAGGGTTTTTCACCTGACAGGATTTTAAAAGGGTGCATTATTTCACTGAAATTCTTTCACTAAGCAATACACAGAAATATTCTTACAACAACATAGTTCACCTTGTAAATTGAGGCTTTACCATTCATAGGTTCAACAAATTTCAGACGTTTTTTTCCTTCCTTTTTTCCCCCCCAGGCAGCCTCATTCCAAGCTGACCTTGAACTCATAGCCAAGGAGGACCCAGAATTTTCTATCCTGAACGTTGGTATCATAGCTGTGCACCACTACATCTGTTTTAAGAGGTGCTTGGCCCTGCGCATGTTCTGCTGACCAAGCCCTAACTCCAGCCCAGATTTCTTCAAGAACTGAAGAGTAGACACCAACAAGCATTTGCCCAGGGTTAAGCTTCTTTCTTTCTATTTATTTTTTTATTCTTTGTTTTTTTTTTTCTGAAATAGGGTTTCTATATGTAGCCCAGGTTGTCCTGGAACTCACAGATACCTGTCTGCCTCTGCCCCCAGAGTGCTGGGATTAAAGCTCTGCACCACCAGGGCTAGCTTGTCTAAGAGTTTTTTGAGACAGGGTTTCTCTGTGTAGCCCTGGCTGTGCTGGAACTAGCTCTATAGACCAAGCAGGCCTTGAACTCACAGAGATGAGTTCTCTGTGGGAACCACCTGCCTCTGCCTCCTGTGTGCTGGGATTAAAGGTGTGTATCACCACTGCCTGGCTTGTCCAAGAGTTTCTAACAGCTGCATTTATAAAGTGCTTAAAGGGAATGAACCAACAACCTACTGCCCCAATGGAAGGCCTTCCCTGCGCTATTTACACCACAGCCCTCACCCTCGTCTCTTCCTTGCCTTCCTTTATGGCGCCCAGGCCCCCGTAGTGCTCAGAATCCACAACTGCAGGCTCAGCCCTCCCATCCAGTTCACACTACAGCTCTCTCCCACACACCTGCACTGCCGTCAGGAACTTGCACATCTTCTCTCCTCCCAGGTCCACACACGTCTCTGAGTAGGTGTCTTCCCTGGCGAGGCTGGGCCAATAGCGGATGGACCCCTCTTTGGTAGCAACCATGACAGCAACAGCCTTGAAATAAAACATAGTCATCAGCAACAATGAGAGAAGACCCCAAAACCAGGTGCCCATGGCACTGGTGAAAACAAGACTTTCTTATTCTTTATATTAATTTTATTATTTTATACACTTATTTGTTTTAGAGAAGGGCCTGGCTGGCCTCAAACTCATAGAGATAAGACAGTCTCTGCACTACAAGTACTGGGATTAAAGGCTCAGGCTGCTCTTCCAGACATCCTGAGTTCAATTTCCAGCAATCACATCTACAATGAGACTTGGTATGTAACATCCCAGGACACTATAAACATAATGAATACATCTTTAAAAAATATTATGTACCAGTAAAACCACCTTCACCTTTCTGTTCTGAACAGAACATGTGTGACAGTGTGGCCACCCATTATAAGAGGACAGAACAGTTCTGTCATTCCAAACCCCGAAAGCTGAGGTAAAGGAGAGTCAATTAAAACTAAGTTATGGACCATATAGTAGTGGTGCACGCCTTTAATCCCAGAGGCATGCAGATCTCCATAAATTCAAGGTAGCCTGGTCTACTGCTGAGTTCCTAGACAGTCAGAGCCACATGGTGAGACCCTGTCTTAAAACAAATAAATGAATAAACAAACAAGCTAGGATATATACAAAAATGCCACAAGAAACTTAATAATATGTATATATTTCTCATTTCTTTAAGAGAAATTGCCAGGAATGGACATGGCATGTGTACCCTCACTTTATAAGAAACTGGGAGGCCGGGTGGTGGTGGTGCACACCTTTAATCCCAGCACTTGGGAGGCAGAGGCAGGCGGATCTCTGTGAGTTTGAGGCCAGCCTGATCTACAGAGCTAGTTCCAGGACAGGCTCCAAAACCACAGAGAAACCTTGTCTCGAAAAACCAAATAAGTAAAATGCAAAAAAAAAAAAAAAAAAACAAAACAAAAAAAACCCAAAAACAGCAGCAGCAACAACAAAAAGAACCAAAAGCATGCACTCTTTTACATCCCAGCAGGAGTTTTAGCTGCTCCACCCCCCACCCCCTGCCTCACTCAGCCCGTCGAGAAGCTCCACTGGTGCTGTCTACACTGTACCAATGGCAAGGATGCTACACAGTGCTTCATGGCTTATCTGCCATGCTCACTCTCTCTCCAGAAAAAGTGTCTATTCAAGACCTTGTCCTGTTTTACTTTCTTTCATCTATAAGTTTTATATGCATGAGTGTTGCCTGCATGTACATACATGCATCATGTACATATGCGGAGCCTGTGGAAGTCAGAAGGTCTCTGATTTCCTAGAACTGGAATTACAGATTATTGTGAGACACCACGTGGCTGCTGGAAATTATACTGGGGTCCTCTGCAGGAGCAATTAGGCGCTCTTAACCTCCGGCCTCTAGGATTGCTTGTTTCCTCATCAGACTTCGCTTTGGGACTTTTCTGTATACCGGATGTAAGTCCTCAGCTGGATTTGTGAGTGTATCCTCGGTCTGTACCTTGTTTCATTGTCTTATTTCAGAAAAGGTATTGTTTGAGGCAAGCTCTCATTAGAGCTCCAGGTGGCCTGAAATTTGATGTAGACCAGGCTGGCTTTGACCTAGTAGAGATCCACCTGTCTCTGCCTCCCCAGTGTTGGGATTAAAGGTGTGCACTACCATACCAGGCTCTTGATCAGCTTTTTAAAAATGATTTTAAAAAATTATGTGTATGTATGTATTATGTATGCTTGCCTGTATGTTCACCACCTGCTTGCAGGTACCTGCAGAGGTAAGAAAACATTGTTGGATCCTCTAGAACTGGAGTTACATACAGTCATGAGTCACCTAAAGAGGGTGCTAGGAACTGAACCCACTCCCTCTGCATGACTCGTATAGGCTCTTACCTACTAGGCCACCTCCCCAGCCCCCTCAATCAGCTTTTATGCCACCTACCTGAACAGAATGTACTTCACCTGAGGTTACAGCATAAGAGAGTGCCACCAGGTCAGCACTCCAGGGGAAATCACTAGGGGGCAGCTGGAGTTCTTTGCAGACAGACAACTGCAAGACAAACCCAAACAGAAAAACCTTCACATAAACCCAGTTTGTTCATTCTGACTTCTTTATTTCTTCTGTGTGTTTCCTAAAGATTAATTACTGGAATACTATTTTACAATATCCTTTCTTTCCACAACTCTTTTTGATTAGTATAACAGAGTATCTTAAGAGACACAAAGTCAGGAATACACAGATGCTAAAATAGACTGCTATATGAACTCATCTGTGTACTCATGCTAGGCCAAGGGCTCTACTGGTTAGTAGTTCTCAACCTTCCTAATGATGCAACCCTTTAATACACTTCCTCATGCTGTGGTGACCCCAACCATAAAAGTATTTCATTGCTACTTAATAACTAGAATTTTGTTACAGTTATGAATTTTAATACAAATAGCTGATATGCAGGATATCTGATATGTAACCCCTGTGGGGTTTGCAACCCACAAGTTGAGAACCATTCGGTTAGGGGAAGTGATCAGGTATTTTACAAAACTTTCCTAGCTGAGGTATAATTTATTTGACATTTAAAATTATTATGGCCAAAAAGAAATTATACCAAGTTTCCTTGAAACCATTTCTTAGGCTTGTTGCTGAACATCCAACTCCCTCTGGTAACTCAGTATACCCTAAGAATTTTCCCTCATGGCTACTTTGAACCATACATCCTTTCTAAGCAGCCGGGGGAGGACAGCAAGTCTGCAGACACTAAGCATTAGGAAGGAGCCCTAAGCTCTAGTAGAACCATGACCTACAAGGTAGTGACAGGAGCTGGAAGATGTGCTTGAAAGAGGCTGCTGAGAGAGTATTACAGACTTCATTGATGGTCCCGCTCTAGGAGCAGACAGCTCAAGGTTAACCTACACAGAGCATCCCTGACTCCAACTCAGAAAAAAGCATGCTCAGTTCTTAGCTTAGGCAAACTGCCCAGCACTGTGGTTCCTGAACATTCTCAAAGCTTCTAATTTTATTATATAGATTTTGCTTTAAAATTCGGTGGTCAAAAGGATAAGAAAGACAGAATGGCTCTCTGTGCAGGGGAGGTGCCTGTCGGTTTGAGTTTGGTTCCCCTCATCAAGGCTGGGCACTCTCAAGCCTGGCTGAGGATGGGTGCTAAGGTCTATATTTATTCTACATGGAAGGCCAACATTTTAATTCCTCCCTTACATCTTAAGCCATTCCTGTCCAAAGTTGATGTCAGTCAAAGGCATGGCCCCTTTTCTCCCCACCTACTAATCATCTTGGAGTTTAACGCAGGAAGACACAATAAGAGCTTGGAGGGAGAGCACACTGTGCTGATTTTCCAGGATTAGCTTTTGTTTTGTTTTTCCTTTTGAGACAGGGTCTATATAGTCCTACCTGTCCTGAAACTCGGTATGTAGACTAGGTTGGCCTTGAACTCATAAAGATCTACCTGACCTGTCTCTGCCTCTCAAGTCTGGATCTAAAGGCATGCACCACATTGGGCTGTTTTGTTTATTTTAACTTTTTTAAAATGTATTTTATATGCATAAATGTTTTGCCTACATGTGTAAGTGTGCACTATAGGAATGTCTGGATCTACAGAGGACTTTTGGAACTGGACTTAAAAATATTTGTAAGCCGCCATGTGGCTGCTAAAAACTGAATTTGGGTCTTCTGCAAAAGCAACAAGTACTGTCTCTAACCCACTAAGCCACCTCTATAACCCCTTTCCAGGGTCTTTAGAGTCAGAGTGACTCACAGGACAGGAATCTACATTTTTAGTATGTCAGAATACATACCCATGTACACTCATGTACATATACATAGACTTCCCTCCACCCCCTGAGGCTTCCAAGGCTGAAAGTATCCCCTCAAACATGATGAAGGCTCCTCAACCCTATTGGACTTTGATTAAAATTCAGAAAGCATCAGCACAGTGTGGCACATAACAAGGTGCAGGATGTTATAGTGGTGCAGTGAGCTGGTCCTCCAGAAAATCCTCAACTGCAAGGAAGAGAATGCCGAGCACAGCAAGGCAGCTTGCAGACCCAGGAGAACACCGTGTGAGAAACCAAGCGCTGAGAGCAGGAGGGAAAAGGACACAAGATCCAGAGCCCATGAAGACAGTAACAGTCCCAGCTCATGTTCATTTATTTGGCTGTGGTGGATCTTTTGAGAACAAAGAAACTAAAGACATCAACAACAGTAAATTATTAAAAGAGAAGTTTTGTTTTGTCTTTCCCCAACAAACAAACTATGAATTCACAGTCAGTATTTCCCACCACAAATTCTGACCGCCTGCACAGACTGACTAGCATCCTTCATGAGCTTTAAAGAATAGAGGTAAAGTAAAGAACCAGCTGGGACCCCTTTTCTTCACTTGCTATCCAAAGAGCCATTACCTTAGTGACAGGTGACACAGCAATCTTCCAAACAAGGAGTTTCTCTTTGCACACCAAGCAAGCCCACCCACCTTCGTCTATGTGGATAGAGAGCTGATCGTTGGCTGAGGAGAAATAAATTGCACAATTAATCTCACACTGAGACTATGAAACGTTGCTCAGTCTTCTTAGGCCAACATCTACCATGTTTGTCACAGAAACAGATAACGGAATATGTGGACACTGTTGTGTGTCTGGCTTTTTAAAATTCATTTGACACCTACCCTCAGCCAGAGTCAGAGCTTCCATGATCTTAACAGGGAGAGACGAGCCAAACATTCTCACATCGTAGTTCACAGACTCTGATATGGAATGGTGAGGGAGCATCCGTGTCGGTGTTCCTCTAAAGAAAAGAGACCATGCGATGTTACTTATAACCTGAAATTTCCTACTAGCTTAGCTCTTACAAATCTGTACATAACAGATCTCTGATGAGGTGTAACGGTGAAAGATTCTAGCTTGTGTGCACTACGCAATTAACTATATTTTTCAATAGAACTTTAGGAAAACCTGGTATCTTATAGTTTGCTTTCCATTGCTTGATATAGACCACGACCAAAAACAACTTGGGGAAGAGTTTATTTCATCTTATACTTCCAGGTTAACACTATAAGATGTTACCTGGCCAGCACCAAGGGAAGCCACGGCAGCAACTAACACAGGGCAGGAACCTGGAGGCAGGAGCCATAGAAAATACTCTTTACTGGCTTGCTCAGTTTGTTTTCTTATCCAGGGCCACCTGCCTAGAGATGGCACTGCCCAGAGTGGGCTGGGCCCTTTACACCAATCACCAAGCAAGAACCCCTCCCCCCCCATAGGCACTTCGCAATTGAGCTTCCTTCTTCTCAGATGATTCTGTTTTGTACTGACAAAAAAAAAAAAAAAAAAAAAAAAAAAAAAAGCAACATGCCTGGCTTTTGATCATAAGCTCAGTAACTAAGAGCACATGTCTACCTCGAAGACCAGTACTTTTTTTTTTTTTTTTTTTTTGGTTTTTTTCGAGACAGGGTTTCTCTGTGGCTTTGGAGCCTGTCCTGGAACTAGCTCTGTAGTCCAGGCTGGTCTCGAACTCACAGAGATCCGCCTGCCTCTGCCTTCCAAGTGCTGGGATTAAAGGCATGCGCCACCATCGCCCGGCTGAAGACCAGTACTGTTAAGAACTCTTTTCAAAGCCGGGCGATGGTGGCGCACGCCTTTAATCCCAGCACTCGAGAGGCAGGCGGATCTCTGTGAGTTCGAGACCAGCCTGGTCTATAGAGCTAGCAGGACAGGCTCCAAAGCCACAGAGAAACCCTGTCTCGAAAAACCAAAAAAAAAAAAAAAACCTCTTTTCAAACGATAAAAGTCAAAGACAGGCATGGAGAGGAGGCAGAGACAGGCAGATCTCTGTGATGTTGATTTGTACATTTTAAACATTAAGTCTCAGATTCAGTATCTTTTGCTTTCATGTAGGAGAAATTCACAAATTTATTTTACTTTTGATTGTGTGTGTGTTCACACACACCTAAGTTCAGGTGTCTAGAAACCAGAGGCTTGGAACCCTTGGAGCTGGCGTTACAGGCGGCTGTAAGCCATCTAACATGGGTGTTCCAGATCCTCTTGGAAGAGTAGCAGGTACTCTTAAGCTCAGAGCCAATTTTTCATTCAAGAAATTCACTTATGAAAGAAGAACAGAGCCAGGCGGTGGTGGCGCACGCCTTTAATCCCAGCACTCTAATCCCAGCACTCGGGAGGCAGAGGCAGGCGGATCTTTGTGAGTTCGAGACCAGCCTGGCCTACAGAGCTAGTTCCAGGACAGGCTCCAAAGCCACAGAGAAACCCTGTCTCGAAAAACCAAAAAAAAAAAAAAAA